CGGCAACTTGGAACCACGCAGTCACTCGCTCTCTCCCCACCTTTTCCTTCCTCCGCCCGCTCCCGGGGGGATGGGGAGGAGAATCGAAGGAATGTAACTCCCACGAGTTGAGATAACAGCTCTCCAGTAACTAAGGTATAATACAAACCACTACTGCTACCAATAATAATGATAAGGGGAATAACAAGGGAAAAGGACACAACCGCTCACCACCCGCCGACCGATACCCAGCCCCACCCGAGCAGCGATCTGGGCCTTCCGGGTAACTCCCCCCAGTTTATATACTGGCCATGACGTGCTGTGGTATGGAATGCCCCTTTGGCCAGTTTGGGTCAGGTGTCCTGCCTCTGCTTCCTCCTGGCTTCCCCTCCTCTCTGGCAAAGCATGAGACTGAGAAAGTCCTTGGTCAGAGTAACCATTACTTAGCAACAACTAAAAACATCGGTGTTATCAGCATTGTTCCCAGACTGAAAGTCAAAAACACAGCACTGCACCAGCTACTAAGAAGGAGAAAAAATGACTGCTGTAGCTGAACCCAGGACAGGTCTTCATTCTCACAGTCCCTGTGTTGGCCTTCCAAGGCTTGGGTGGTGTGGTGTGAGCATTTACTAGTGAAGACTGAGGCAATGAAGTCATTAAGAACCTGTAAAAACACTGAATATTATTTAGTCCAATTGTATGTTTTACAGTGTATATATACACCATATTATATAGTAGAAGTCACATTTGTAAACAAGTGAAATCTTTTCTAGGTGATTTGAAGTATGGCTTAGTACATTCAGCATGTCTCATACACAGTTTTACCTGTGGGAGACTCTGGCTGAGAAAGTTTTAGACATAAATCTGTTCTAAACATACATTTTCTTACTAAATAGAGGAAATAAATATCTTCCTTTTTAATTTATCTTGATGTAATCTTGCTTTCACAGTAGTTTTGAGCTTGGTGATGTCCTTCTACACACTTCTACTTTACTAATACAGTCTGGAATACATTTGTGCTTTCTGATGCCATAGTGAACCCTGTAATTCTGTCTTCAAAATAGCTTGAGGTAAAGAAACTACAGGATTAGAAATTGAGTAGGAGTGTTGAAACAAGTTTGAGAGTAGGCCCTCATTTCAGGCTTCAGTATAGCCCAGGGTATTTCCCCACTGTGGAATAAAATAGGCCCTGAAGAGTTATTAAAACTTCTGTGCTGCTCAGTGCCTCTGTTACTGTTTAAGGATAAACTGGAATACAGTGTTTCCATGCTTAAAAAACTGCATTGTTTGAGAAAGGTGTTATGTCTTCATGCTATTAAAAAGTAACATCTGTATGAACATCAACTAAGAATCAGTAGGCAGTTATATTGGAGGGGTTAGCTTTCCAATCCTATTAATATTTATGCAAACTATGCTTACTATGTGTAACATTCATATTAACAGGGTCACATTGAGTCTTTTAACCATTAGATACTTGCATAGGCTGTGAGAAGTCTGCATAATCTAGAATAATGACATCTTCCTTTCAAGTGATTTGACACAAGAATGAAGTGATCTGAACAGTCTGAGGAAGGCAGGGGTGAGAGGAAGGAAGCTCATTAAATGGTTATAATTGCAGGTTTAAATGATTGCTGGATTGTGTTCTACTGTAACGACAGGAGTTTATCTGTCACATTGAATATGCATCTCCTCCTGAAAAGCCTACAAACTACTTTCATAGGCTTCAGGTACACCTTTAGTACATGTAATCTTGGGGAAAAGCTGTCTGATTGCCTTGTCATTCTCTTTCTTGTGAAAAGGTTTAAAACTGAAAAAAGCCCCAAACTGCATGTTTTAACCTTCATAGTACTTAAAATCAAGTATTAAAGACCCATTTAAGAGTCAACTCAATTGATACACTTTAAAATGTGTTCTTCCCAGATAAAGGCTTTGTAAAATGACAGCTAAAACCATTGATTTTTAAACTGACCATTCTGAATGGCTTGAAGAGTAGTTTGAATTACTTTTAGACTGTTACTGAAGTAAACCCCCTAATTATAAATTAAACCACATCGTTTAAGTATACTCTGCAGTAAAAAAAAAATCAAGCAATATGCATTCTGTACTCAAAACTTAACACAATTTTCATGAGGTGGCTGCCTTCTGAAAACAATTTTGGAAAAAATTTAAATCTTAATTAAATCCTTCATTTGGTTACAGTATTTAAACTTCTGGAGACTAGGCTATGGTTCAGTCAACAAACAAATTGGCACTTCTATTGAAAGCTAAATTTGTTACAGACTGCAAATAAGGATTTGAAGGGACAAGAGGTCTGGAAGGGTCTCACCCTCCAAATAGTATCTCTTCTTCAGTGTTTGTTTTAGCATGTTTCTACCTTCACCCACTGTAATAGTGAAATTATAAAGCATGAAGCTGAAAGCGGAGTGGACATTCAGAGTCACTAACTTTTGTTGCTTATTACAAGCTGAATATGTTAGCTGTAATGAGCCCATACACAATTCACCAGCTGCTTTTTTTTTTTCTTCTTATTGAATGTTCAGAGGTTAGACTTTATTAAAATTTTAGTTAGTAGAGGGGAGAGAACATGCAAAGATTTACGTATAGAAGGATAAATAATTAACACAATGAAGCTCACCTGTGTTACAAAAACTTATGCAAAGAGAATCTACATACCAAAAGATGGTGGTTTCTATATGCTTCTCTAGTTGCAACATCTGTAACTTATAGCTACAGAAACAGTGCTGCCCACATACCCAGAACTGTATGATCTTTTAAATTCTGCTTATGAAAATATTTCCAAAATGTTTGAAAAAGATTTTTCTCCTTCATGTACCACAAACAGGCAATGAGAAAAAACTCCCATAACATCTGAACACGTAACCAACAAAATCAGAAGTTATTCTCCAGTCTTTAGGATGCTGAAGTTCATGATTACAGCTCTGTTCTTCTTTAAATTTCTTTATGTCTCTTGAAGTTTACTTTATGTAGCAAAAAGCGAAAGTAGTCTCATCAATTAAATACTGCCCCCCGAATAGTTTCTATGATAATACTTTATCCAGTTTTGTCTCATGTGGGAATAAAATTGGAAATCTACATCTTTTGGTTTTTTTAACAGAACTCTGAATAAAATTTCTTTTATTATACTCTGTGTTCTTTAGTTGGAAACCAGTCTTTCAACATCATGTTTTGTCAATATAAGAACTTTTTTGATTCAGCAAACTGCATCTAAAATACAGATTCGCAATGACATTTATCTAACCTTTCGGTAAGAGGAAATCACAGTCCCCACTCTGTTCTCTGAGAAAAAAATATTAGTTGGTATACTACACTGAATTACCAGGATGTTATACACATTTCGTGAAAGGAATGTTTGCTTTTGAAGTGCTTAATTAACTTAAATTTTAGAAGGTGTGAGATTTTTCAATTCTTAGAGTGTCAGTGCTAACTCTACAGATGTCTTAATACTTGATCCACAAGAATAAAACAGGTCAATTCAGCTGTTGCTCCTATGGAATTCACTAACAATTACATTTTACTCCTGTGCTTAACTGTTTGCCAGATGAGAGTATAAATCGAAAAGATCAACAAAACTTCCATATATTCCTACGTTCAATATGGATGTGGCTGATCTCTCTTTCATTTTCTTCTAGGCCTTTTCTGGAAACATGAATGCAGACAGTGTTGTGTACTATAAGCTTCAGCATTCCATTAAAGCAAGATTTCTCCGTTTTGTGCCTTTGGACTGGAATCCGAATGGCAGAATTGGAATGCGCATTGAAGTGTATGGATGTGCATATAGTAAGTGTTTTCCTGAATCAGCTAAATGAAATGACTATTCATCATTGTCTTCTGTAACCTAAATTACACTTGAAAATTGATTTCTAAGCCTAAGTTTAATCTTGAGTAGAACTGACTCAATAGTACGTTTATGCACAGACTTTACCATTTCTGCACCATCTAAGAGTACATGATGTTTATTTCATTTTTTTCTGTGTTAGAATAAAAGATGTGAACATAACCCAATAAATGATTTACTAAAAACTCTTTTTTTTTTTTTTTTAATAGTCTTAAAAACTGCACTTAATATGGTGAAATATGGAAAATGTTTACAGTTTCAAAAAAAAAAAGATCTTGGTCTTGATCCAGTAAGTGTACAAGTAGAGCCACAAATACACAGTTGAAGGGTATTTTAAAGTTGTTATACGTTTAAGGAGTACTTTTAGAATAATTTTTGGGTCATTAATAAAACATCTGGGTCATTAATAAAACATCTGATATAAGCATTTGGTTGTATTGATCTGCTGGACAATGTAAATCTTCCTGTTGTCTTCCTCTTACAGTTTTTCATCCCTAGAATTTTTTTTAAATATTCCTCTTAGCAAGTTGATAACTGTCTTTTATTCTTCACATCTTTTCCTCATGAGGGAAGCAGAGTTTATTTTCATCAACCTCTTTAATTTTTTGTTTTAAGAACTTTCATCTGTTGCTTTTGTAGGATTATTTTTTTAACTTCTCTGCTTAAGTCATGCTTTACATGGCTGATCTCTTCTGAATGGCCTCCATACATCCCTCTTCTATTTCTATTCATTAGTATCTTACTTTAAACTGAACATCAGTAAAACACATTACTTGGCTTTGTAAAAAGAGTGAATGGTCCTGAGCTAAGGATACTGAAAATTTCAACTTGGATGCAGGAGATTAGGTCACATCAGAAATTAAGTAAACCACCTAATCCCAGAGAACAGAGAGCTCATACCAGGAGGAGGGTGTGAGGAGATAAAAACACACAGAATTTCTTAATGACAACTGCCTGGATATTAGGAACATGGCTTTTGATTCTTAGACCAATCTAATGATACTACTGTAACTGAGAAATGTGGCCAGATACAATTTACCCTCCACTGTTTTAACTACTGAAAGTTGAAAATGGAGGCTGAAGAGATGATTTTATCATTTCCGGGTGAGAGCTCATGTGAGTCTCCCTTTGAAATCTCATCTCTATAGTACTTGATGAAGTACATTCTCTCCTGTCTCTAAGCTTCACTGAAAGTGAATCAGCTTTGCTTCTTACCAGTCCCTTACCTTGTATGTTAGACAATATTTAAATCCTTACCCAAAGTCATGTTATCAGACATTTCCAAAAAAGAAGAGCTATCTCTTACACATACCTAAAATTTAGATCTTCTTATGTTCACTACTGTAATTTTCTTTATCAGATCTTGTAAAGTATCTTACGGTTCTCTTTTTGATATTGCTATTACTATGTTCCTTTTTTATGTCAATGGAAAATCTACTATTGTAAAGGACAAAAATGGACAATATCTGTGTTATTAAAAGTAATAAAGCATACAGAATAAGCAGTTACATAGAATTTTTAGTGTATGGTCAGTAATTAATTTGAGGAAGATTATGTATTTTTCTGTATTTTACTCTTTTGGTACAAGATTAATACTATAGATAGGTTATTGAAACAAATCAATGATAATTATCTTCTAAGATAAAGCTGAATTTAAAAGGAAAATTCATTTACTGTCCACCATAATAGAGTACATAGAGACTATGACTGTTCAATACATGGGAATTTTTTTAAGCTGTTAAAGATTTTCTCTGTACTAATGGTGTGAGCTCTTGAAATGCTTTTTTTTTTTTTCCTATGTGTAAATGCTTTCATTCCAAATAAATTGCAAAGTCTTTATCATCTCTTTTTTTTTAACATCTAGAATTGTCATGTGCTTTTAGTAGTTCCATTCAGTGGCTGCTGCTGAAGACAAACCAGTTGATTATAGTCTTAGAGTTCTAACATATATTTAATCATTTGAAAGATTAATTCTTTCTCTTCAGTCTTTTCCTCCATTTGTCAGACACATGCAGGACATGTAGTTATTGCTACAGTAATTATGCCTGTCTCTTTGTAAACTGCTATGAACTTTTCCAGGTGGGAAAAGGAAAGCACAAATGCCAGTGATACCTACTTTAACTTTGATTTACACTTTCCAGATTTCCCATTTCTCATTCTTCCCTTCAGAGACATAGATCTCACTTGGTCTTATAAGAGTAAGCAACTCTCCGTTTACTACCGAGTATGTGGACTGTGTATTCAAGTGCAAATGCAGTAATTTCCTCCTTCAATCTTATCTGTTACAAATTACATAACTAAAACTGCCAAGAATATACAAAACTGATCTTTCTATTTCATAAAGTGATACTGAAAAATGCATGTCTGTTACATCCAAAAGTCACTACTATCTTAGTGAAGTAGTACTTACAGGATTATTGTTGGCGCTACTTTCAAGTTGCTGCTCTTTTATCTTCCAGCCAAATATCTACTCTGAATAACTTAGACATATCTTCAGCACTGATGTTTCCCCTTTAATTACAGTCTCAGTGAGGTTTAGTAACATTCATGATAGATGCCCATAGGATAAATAAGGAGTTTTGTTTCCTGTTTTTTCACAGAGAGCCCCGTTATTCCTATAAACCTTTTAAGCCAAGAACCGTCACATTTTATGTGTTTCTAAAGCATGCATCCAGAACAAGTCCTTTCATTTTTGGTTTTTACCACTTATGGAACAGAAAGGCTAAATAAGTGTAGTTAGTTATAGAGTTGAATGAAACAATAAAAAAGTTCCCCTGTATTCTTTGTGCTTAGTTCTTCCCCTTCCTCACTCTGCTATATCTACTATGTTCCTTACTTTTCTTACACCTGTTCTGAAGTCTTTTTCATGCAAAGAAGTAAGAAAGGTATTTACTTTTTCCAGGGGGTCTACCTGGCTTTATGTGGTCTAAGGAAATCTGCTTGTGCCATGACTATAAAACAAACACTTTGTGCTGCCAGAAAAAAAAATCCCCAAATCTTTCTCAGCTTCCGCCTGATAGTTCTTCCTGTTTGGTGTATGCAAAAGACACTGATGAATCTCTACAGATATATCTCATGTGTTTTGCCTGAACTGTCAGATTGTAACAATTAAGCCATGTAAAACAGAGCTCATGATAAGCTATGCTCTGACACTAAAAAAGAGAAATCAGAATTAGTTTTGGCTTACTCTTTTCTCCCTTGATTACAAAGTTCTCTTACTCTTTTCATCCTCTGAAAACCAGTAGGCTAAAAATAAGAAATTTAAAAAAAACAAAACACAACAAAAAAAAGTGCCTTCATATAACAAACAGAAAAATGGGTTTAAACGTGAAAATGACAATTGTATAAAATTGCAGGACAAAGATAACTGGGAGCTAAATACAACCTGTATGTAAACACATTGTTAGACTCAGTGCCTAAGAACAAGCACTGCAGATACTATGCTATGCAAACTTTTTTCCAGAGTCCTCTAACAGTTAAATGTGTTGAGCATTCCTTTCCTGGCTGTAAGGCATAAAATCAATGGCACAGTTACATGAGTCAAAAAGAGAACTTCCAAACCACTTCGTAACTAGGATAATGTATTTTCAATGGCTTGATGTGAAAATGATTGTAAAAAAGTTAATTTTAAATAAGACTAATTATGAACGATTTCAACATGCCACCTTTTTTTTTTTCCCCAAGAGGTTTTTGTAAAGTGATAGCCTACTCCTGGTTTTTCTAACTTTTCTGAACACTGTGAACCTTTTCAGGTCTGCTTTCCCCAGAACTGGAAAGATACATAAAGCAGATATCTCATTTAATGTGGGTTTTTTTTTTTTCAGGAGGAAGGATATCTAAAACCAATAAAACCCCACAAAATAATTTGCATTATTTTATGGTTATTTTTTTATTTTTCCCACTACAGAACATTAACATTAATTTTAATTAATTTAAAAATTAACAAACCCGAAATTGTTCTTCAAAGATACTGCAGCTGAAACTTTTACTCAGGATAGGTAGAACTCTTGATCCTATGGTGTGTGAAGTTTCCAGAATTTCCAATTTCTCAGAGGCATTTCATCACTTCCAAAAGTATTTTCACAGTATAATAAGGATTTAGATTACATTTCTTTGAGAAAGACACATTGTAAATTGTGAAAACAAAAGACGAGTCTTCACGAAACAAATTGAAAGTACTTCATAAATACGAAAGAGGAAAATGTTACGACACTCTGGCTATCTGGGCTCATTCTTTCTATCCTGATAACCCTGCAGAAGATTCAGCCTTTATCTTTCATAACTGTTTCAATTTATTTTTAGTGGTAATGCACAGATGGTGAAAACAAAACTTGTGTGAGAAAAGTTACAAGAATTTTTGTTGACATTTGCAGCATTTTCACAATCTTCATGCATGGTGGTGGGCAAAAGTTTTAATTTTGTTTATTTCCAGATTTGGAAAGAGTAGGTTTTGCTTCTTAGGAGCGAGTGCTGCAGAACTGTGTAAGAAATTTCAGAGACCTGTGTTAAATGTTTATGTTCTTGTCTTTATAACTAATAACAAGAGTCTGTTCCCAAACAATACCTCGTAATGCTATCAGTACCTATTAAGAATATAGCTAGTTAGCTGGTTTGATAGATACTTAACAATGTACAAGTTCTGCTGTTGAAGTTTTTCTAGAAGCTTTTAGACTTACTCATTATTCAAATTTAACACTGAGTAGTGCTTTCCCTGTCCACATTCATTCAATGACATGATGAAGCAAATAGTCAACCTAGGATTAATTTTTATGTAGAATGTCCTATTTATTTGTTGTACCTTTGGTAAATAAATTCTTCATAAGTAAGAAGTACATTATCAAGATGTGAAGAAAATCAAGAAATCATACTCAAAAACATAGCTGCATTGATTTGGCAAGGGAATTTAGAAATGGAATATAAATGACCAACTTAAAGTATAATAGTTAATCTGAATTGAGTTCATTTCCATGCAGACAATGTGGAGAAATATTTTTAGTGAAAATAAAGTTAGTAAATAGATAATGGCTTTCCATTGACTTGAAAAAAGTTAACCAGTTAATTGAAAAATAAATTCATGTTTTACTGAGTGTCCTTTAATCTTCATTTATTTCACAAATGTATCTTTCAAGAGTAATATCTTTTTTCTTCTTTACTTATGAACTGTAAATACTCTACAAGCTTTTTATATTGTTATCGGTTCCTTGTGTGTGTCTTGTTCAATCTGTACTGATTTTGACAGATATTCCCATATATTACTGGGATAAAATCAGCAATCAGTTGGTTCTGTTATTCCCTTCCCTTCCCTTCCCTTCCCTTCCCTTCCCTTCCCTTCCTTTCCCTTCCCTTCCCTTCCCTTCCCTTCCCTATCCTTTTCCCTCTCCCCTTCCCTCCCCTTCCCTTCCCTTCCCTTCCCTTCCCTTCCCTTCCCTTCCCTTCCCTTCCCTTGTGTTTTGCCATTGCCTTGCCCTAACTTGCCTTGCCTTGTTTTTGCCTTGCCTTTCCCTGCCTTGTCTTGCCTTGCCTTGTCTTCTGCCTTTTGCCTTACTTTGCCTTTTGCCTTTGCCTTGCTTTGCCTTGCCTTTCACCTTGCCTTGCCTTTTGCCTTGCTTTGTCTTGCCATTTGCCTTGCCTTGCCTCTTGTTTTTCCCCTTGCTTTCCCTTTTCCTTTCCACTTTCCTTACTCCTTTCCCCCAGATAAAGTGAAACTACGTAATGCTGATAGAAATTAGTCATAAATAGAACTTAGATTTCACTGGAGTACTGCCATGTAGCTGTAACACTGAGTCTACCTTTAAGCATACTTATTAGGACTATGAACGTGTGTGAGTAAGTGAGAAAGCATACATTTATAATGTAATAACGAAATTTCTGCAGCATTACTCTTTTCTTCACCTGTAAAACTTAGAAGTTTTTTGATTTGTCTAGTATAGTACAAAATCAAGGAGAGAAAGAACTGATTCTTTCCCACTTCTCCACTCTTATGAGACCCCACCTGGAGCCCTGCATCCAGCTCCAGGATCCCCAGTACAAGAAAGACAGACCCCTCAGAGTGAGTCCATAGGATGGTCATGTAAGTAATCAGAGGGCTGAAAAAACTCTCCTATGAAGAAAGGCTGGGGTTGTTCAGCCTAGAGAAGATTCAGAGAGACCTTATTGTGGCCTTTTAATGCTTGAAGGGAGTGTAATATAAAGATGGAGAAAGATTTTTTTTCCCAGGTCCTGTAGTGACAGGACAGTAATAGTTTGAAACATCTAGATTTTAGATTTAGATTGGACATAAAGAAGAATTTGATTGTTTTTTAATGAAGAGGGTGGTGAGACAATGGAACTGGTAGCTCTGAAAACTTGTGGATGTCCCACTCATTGGAAGCATTCAAGTCCAGGTTGCATGGGGCTTTGTGCAACCTACTCTAGTGAAAGATTTCCTTGCCCATGGCAAGGGCATTGGAATGGGATGATCTTTGAGAAGTTCCTTCCAACCCAAACTATTGTACGATTCTATGCTATGAATATATCCCTTTAGGTGTGTTCCCAACTCCCCTCATTGCAGGTGTTGAAGGCCCCCCTATCTGCCTGTCTGGCCTGCATTCTAGGTAGGTTTGTTGCTTGCTAGGGATATGGATCCAGGACATTGTGGAGGGACTGTTGAAGTTTGTCTGTCCTTCGGATTATCCCCTTCTGCTGCAACAACAGTACTGCCAGGGATGACCTGGTGGGTATCATGCATGTCTACATGACTCTAGGGGAAAGAGCGTAGGGTCTCAGTTGTCATTTTCTATGTTCTTGCTGACATGAATTAAGAGATTGAGGAGGACTGCATGGATCCTTTGGATCAACAGTTAGTTGCACTGCTGGTGTTGGCAACAATTTTCCAGATTCAACTTTAGGGCATCATGAGGATCAGGAACGCTAGGAAGAGACAGAATCCATCTGACCATGCAAAACCACCTGTTCCAACAGACTGGTCAACCTGGAAAGGACACCTCAAAACTAGGAATGATAGGAGAGGGAGATGATGGACAAAATCAAGTGAGGAAGTAATGGACTGGACTGAGAACTAAAGCCTTCAGGGCAGAGTGAAAAGTTGAGACAGTGGAAACAACAAACCAGGGCTGAACAGAATGCACTAGAGCATCTGAAGTCCAAACACAAAAATAAAGCGCTGCTGTGAAGACATTTTTTCTGAGAAATCAACACAAATGGATGCCTTTCTGAAGTGCCTGCATATTAATGCACACAACATGGGGAACAAACAAATTGAGTTCTTTATGTACATGAAAGACTACAAATTCATCATGACTATAAAGACATGGTGGAATAGCTCACGACTGGTAAGGTGCCATAGATAGATACAGGCCCTTTAGAAGAGAATAGCCAGGTCAATGATGAAAGGCAGTTAACATTTATGTAAGCAAGCAGCAAGGGTGCATGGAACTCTGCCTAGGGACAGATGATGAGAGGGCTGAGAATTTATAGATTAGGATTAGAGGACAGACTATAGGTGGTGGCATTGTGGCAGGTATCAGTTACTGACTGCCTAATATGGGGGAAGCAGTTGGAGCTTTCTTCAGACAACTGGAAGAAGCCTAAGATTCACAGCCATTGGTACTTATTGCTGACTTCAATCAACCTGGTATCTGCTGGTGGGACAACATAGCTGGGCATAAACAATCCAGGAGTTTTCTGGAATTTTATAATGATAACTTGCCAGCACAGGTGATTGGGGAGCTGACAAAATCTCTACTCTGTAAACATGAGGGCTCAACTGGCCCTCATGCTTACAAGAAGGAAGAACTGGTGGTGGAAGTTAAAGCTGAGATGGTCTTGGTTGCAACAGCCATGAAACTGTGATGTTCAAGATCCTCAGAAAAGGCAACAAGTCAAATAGAATCACAGCCCTGGCCTTCAGGGAAGCAGGCTCTTTCATGCACAGGGACCTGACTGGAAGAGTGACATGGGAAGTGGTCCTGAAGACAAGAGGGATCCAGGAGGGCAGATTGATTTTCAAGGATCATTTCCTCCAAGCTCAAGAAAGTTCTATTCCAAAAAGCAGGAAATCATGCAAAAGTAGCAGAGGTTCTGCATGGATAAGCAAGAAGCTCCTAACTGAGTTCAGGAATAAAAAGGAAGTGTCTAAGAGGTGGAAGTAATTTCAGATGACCCAGGAGGAATATAAAAACTGTCAAAGCATGCAAGGATGTGGTTAGGAAAACTAAACCACCTGTATTTGAAACTAATAAAGGTTATGGAAGACAAAAAAGGAAGGGTTTCCGCAGGTATATCATCCCTCTTATAATGCACTTAAGAGAGCTAAGGGGACTGGCCACAGTCATTATGAGGTCACATTTATTTACGTTTGAAAGGTAGCAGTGACTGGGAGAAGTTCCTAAAGACTGGAAGAGAACTAATGTCACTCCTATTGTCCATAAATGCATGGGGAACTACAATCTGATCAGACTCATTTCAATCCCTGTGAAGGTAAAGGAGCTTATAATCTTAAAACCATTTCCAAACAGAGGAAAAATGAGGAGATCATTGGAAATAGCATGGATTTATGAAGGGAAAATAATAACTCATCAAACTAATAGCCTTCCACAGAGATATAATTGATTTTGTGAGTGAAAGGGAGTGTTTGGTATTGATTTATCAAGAGTTTTGATGCTATATTTGTAATGTCCTCACAGATAACTGATAAGTACAGGCTGTTCAGGTAGACAATGAAGTGGACTGAGAACAGGCTGAACTGCCTGTCTGAAGGAGTTTTTGTCAGTGGCACAAAGTCAAGCTACATCTATTCACTTATGGAATATCCCATGGATTGATACTGGTTTCGTTATGTTCAATACCGTCATTAATGACCTGGATGATGAAGCAGAGTTTACATTCAGCAAGTTTGCAGCCAATAAAAATTTGGAGCACTGATCGACACATCAGAGGGTTTTGTTGCAATTTAGAGGAACCCAGACAGGCTGGTGAAATGGGCTGACAGGAATGACATGCCATTTAACAAAGGGAAGTGGATCTAGGGATGTTAGTGGAGGACTTCATATCATATTGAAGTAACATGCAAGTGTTTCTTTTAGACATTTCTTTTAGACATTACACATTATCTTTCATTTCTTTACTTCTAGGGTCCGAGGTGGTTGGCTTTGATGGGAAAAGTTATCTAATTTACACGTTTAATCAAAAACTCATGAGTGCACATGTGATTTCTCTGAAGTTTAAGACACTGCAAAGTGATGGAATTCTCCTCCACAGAGAAGGACAAAATGGAGACCACATCACCCTGGAATTAACTAAAGGGAAGCTGTCCCTACTCATTAATTTAGGTAACAGCTACAGCCTCATAAAATCTAATACAGTTATTAGGTATTATTTGACTAAAACTTCTTTCAATTTAGTAAGTGGATTTTAATGTATAGAGCATCATTAACTAGCAATATCTATTAGAATAATTAATTTTATATGGAATTAATAGTTTGTTGTGTTTTTTTTTCCTTTCAAGGTGATACTAAAACTCATCCTTCTAATGCCCAAATTAATATTAAGCTGGGTAGCCTTTTGGATGATCAGCAGTGGCATTCTGTTCTCATTGAGCAATTTAACAATCAAGTAAACTTTACAGTGGATAAACACACTCATCATTTTCATACAAAAGGAGAATTGAATTATTTGGACCTTGATTCTGAGGTGTGAAAATTACTTTTCCGTTATTATCGTTATTAACTTTGATATGTAAATGCAGTGAAATGAGCAAAGGATATAGAACATAAAGAAGTTTGTAGTGCTTATGACTAGGGATTTTCTGTCTCGTAAAAGACTGAATCAAAGAAAACAAGATGTTCTTAAATTACTAATGCTCCACTAGACTTGCAACTAAAAATTTTCAAAAGACCATCTTTTTAATCTCAATTTCATTTTAATATCTTTGTTTCAGTAGTGCTACAAATGTGGAAAATGTATCTAGAAAAACATATAGAAATTATGTTCTATATATATTCTATAGAAAAGTATATAGAAAAATATAAGAAACGTAAGGAATGAACCCCAACTCTAAGTAATCAATTTATGGCTTGATGGAAATTACAATAAATTAGCATAAAATCATTTTAGAAATGTTTATATTCAAACTTCAATTCCTGTTAAATCTGTCACATGCACTGTGAAAAAATCTTGTTTATGTGTATCGTAGATTCATGAAAAGGAGTAGATGTAATTTGCTGTGAGTTTCCCACCTATGGTTGAAAATACCACTATTTCACAGCTGTAATACGATGACTAGCTGCTTTATGTTCTTCCCTAACCTGTTTGTTGGATGAGAAAATGAGTGATAGAACAGAGTGCCTGGAGCCTGCAGATCTAAATTACTTCATTCTACTCATTCGAGTTTTTAAGCAGTTTAGAGTGAGGTTGCATGCTGTTCTGTGTCTGCATTATCCCATTTCAAAAATATCATTCACAAGATTAAAGTAATGATTCTGCTTTAAATTTATGAATCTAAACCACAATGCCAAGACTTGGAGGATCACTTGAATTATGAAAAATTAAAAAAAAAAAAAAAAAAGAGGAGGGAACAAATGCTAGCATTAACTGTTTAGCAAATAGATATATTTTCCTATCCCCCCCCCCAAATATTGCAAATTAATTTTTCCTCTCTTCCACATACTGTAGTTTGAAGTATGTGTTACAAATACAAGGTAGAAAGGAACGCAGAAGCTGGAAAAAAGCCTGAAAACATCCAAAAAATGATGAACCACTCTATTTACAATTGCATTTTTTAGTATAAAAATTTCTTAATTTAATAACTGAATTAAACATGATTTTTTTATATAAAATGATTTTAAATATTAAGTGAATTTCAAAATTAAGAAAAAATAATTTGAAATTACCTTTTCTACAATGTCAACCAGAATAACTTTGAAATGAGTGAGTTCAAAAGTCCGCTTAAATTGGCATCCTGTATCTGATAGTGCCCAGGAGTGGAAACGTAGACCAGAGCATAACTGAGGTCACAGTTGTGTCGATGTTTTTCTAAAATAGTCTACTGTTTTCTAACAGTTTCTGCCTCAGGGACTTGTTAAGACAGAGTGATATTCTTGAATTTAATAGCTGTCAATGGATTTTTATTCTTATTAGATCTTCCAATCTCTTTCTGAATCAGAAACATACATCATCACATCAGGCAACTGCACAGCCCAAGCATTTTGAAAGGGAAAAAGTTATCTATCTATCACCTTCATTTGTTTCCAATCTGCCCTAGAATAATTTAATTTGATGCATTCTTGTTCTCCACTATGGTAGTTATAAAATGCACACAGGGGAGAAGTCAGACTCAAATTTCCTAAAGAAGTTGTTAACAAATTCTCTTCTCCCTCTTCACACTGTCTAGCATGGTCTGTATGCACTGGACTTTGTTCCTCTTCTCCTTGGTTTCGCATCTATAATGGACCCTGAGAACTAATAAGACTATAGTAAGACTGTTAAAAGTAAGCAACTGTTAAAAGGTACTCTTAGAAGAAAAAAACAAACAAAATACCAAACATATCAGAATATTTTAAGGCATACATATGACTGAATATAACCTAATTTTTGTTATCCAGTTCTTTTAATACATAGATGTGATACAAGGAAACAACCAAGAAACAGCAGATTCATTTCTGTCCAGTCTTTGACTTCTGATCTTATGTTATTGGGAACTTCATTCTTAGAAAATTACTTAATAGTATCATTGATTTCTCTTCTCTTTCTAAGCTCAGCTTTGGAGGGATGCCAGTGCCTGGAAAATCAGGGACATTGTCACACAGGAACTTTCATGGGTGTTTTGAAAATATTTATTATAATGGAGTGAACATTATTGACGTGGCCAGGAGGCATAAGTCTCAGATCTACTTTGTGGTAAGAGATTCATAGCTAAGAAAGAAAAAATAAGTAAAATAAGAAGAAAAAGACAACAACCACTTTCATATGCAGTATGACAGTGCAGGATGTATTTTATTCTTCAGTGCTTTAGCAGATATTTAGATGTGTGTGATATCTCACTGTTTTGTAGTACGTCACTGTTGTGCATGTAGGAAAGCCAGTGAGTAAAATAAGATGTATTTGAAGTCATCGAAGGTCTGGCTTTGAGTTCTGTACCTGGGTAGTAAGAACACCAGCAGTACATTTTAAAAGCCTTCTGTTGCTGAGGACATTGAACCACTCTGTTTTCTCCAGAGCATTATGATTTTGGTAGATAAGTTCTTCTTGTCAATTCATATTACCCTTTGTCCGACGAGCTATACTTTAGGCTGGTGGGTTTAGAGTATTTATTGTGACATGGCCAACAGCTGTATTAGCCTAATTGCTATCTTTTAGAGAAGTAGTTCCAATAGTGAATAGGTTTTCTTCTCAGTTGCAGAAGGTTATTTATATATTTTACTAAGACTTTTGTTGTTCATTTTTACTTTATTAATTTATATTTTCCCAGTAGTACCAGAGCCATCTCTATTTGCAATATTTATTTATTTAACAATAGGATATACAAACTTATGATGGAAACAATCACTTCAAAATAATTAACCAAATATGAAATGTTTTCAAGCTCCAAATCTTTTGATTTGGATTTCACTTCTGAATATGAACGATAAAATTTGTTTCCCTGTTCCAGAAAAAATGGATGACAGGCATCTTTTCTTATGTGAAGCTCATCTGAAATATTCCAGAATTAATTAAACTGATACCTCCATATAGTATCCTGTTCATGATGCTGATGGCTGTTGGGGAGAGGGTAGTTGCAGGAAGTTCTGTGGGAGCTAGTGAAAGCGGAACTATGAAATTATTGTCATAGGAAATATCATCATCTTTATCTTAAATAATTTAAACTGTTGTGGTACTTTCAGATCCTTTTAGGAAATGTTTTATAACGTATCTAAGTTACCATAGAATCCTTGTTAAATAGCCTCTTTGCTGGTTTGATACAGTATCAGGCAGCTGTCCAGATAACACAGAAGGGAAATCTGCAGATGTCAGGCTTTTGGCATTTGACAAGGTTTGTCAACCTGATGACTGTCTTTTCACTGGGTCAGTTCAGTTGACAATTCATTTCTCTACAGCTGAGTTCATAGCACAGAGCTTTTATCTATTTATATTTCTCTTTTGAAGAAAAATAAATCTAGATAAAATCTAATGTCTTGCCATGCCAGGAGCTAGAAAGTATTTTTCTTAAATTGATTTTTTTAGCTTTTTACTATAAGGTAAAATTTTTATGTATGTTCAAAAGTTTAAAAGTTCTTTGTGTTGAACACAAATATAGTTTGAATTCTGAAGACATTAATCTTTTAGTAATCTTATCTACAGAACAAATTAGCTAGAGTTCAAAGGGTGCCAGCAAGTCATACTGTGCACTATCAAGAGTCATAATGCATTAACTCTTACACCAGATGCAAAAAGTGCATTATTCCCATTCCAGTCTTATCTATATCACTCAGTACAAACATAAATGCAGGTTAAGCTCAGAGTTTGTCAATGAACTCATCCACAAGTTTATCTAGGTACCCAAGAACCAGTGATTTCAGAAGCAGTCAAACACAGAATAAAGACTAGGTACCTAAATGCAACTCATTATCTGGTCCATATGGCCACTCTTGAAAATGTTTCCATTTGATTTATGAAGTATGTGTTTTACATTTATAAGTAGCAGTAGTTTATATGTGGAACTTTTTCTATTTGTGGAAACAAATACTGGGGACTGTGCACATCTCCAGTTGCACTGATTTAGAAAGACTGCTGCTCGGTTTGGCAAAATTATTATTTTTTTTTTTTTTTTCTCAAATATAACACTGCCTAAAACAATCAGTAGCCAAGCTCAACGTTTTTCTCTTCATACTAGCATTTAGACCCATACAAATATTTGTACCAAACTTTGCATTCAGTGGCATTTTCTCTGATGTTCATAAATTTGTCAAGTCCCTAAAGCCTCCAGAGGCTGAGCCAAAATAGAAAGAAAGGAGATCTGTCTAACTCCTGAAGTACCATTAAATCAGACATATAAATTAGGATTTTTACTTCACTCTCTTGGTCCTTGCCACTGTCTGTTCAGGCAGATATGTCTGTTCTGGTCAAAGAGCTAGATAAATATTCTCAAACTGATGATATTCTTACATACTCATACATGATTTTTAGACTAACACATTCCAGAGTTACAAATATTAGGTTCTATGCACAACGTTTCGAAACTCTGTAGTTTCCATACAAAAGTTCTCATGACTTTCCTTCCCTGAATGTTCCTAATGACATATTTCTTTCGTTTATTTCTAGGGCAACATATCCTTTTCATGTTCAGAGCCACAAGTGGTTCCTGTCACTTTTCTGAGCCCCAGTAGTTACCTGGCACTGCCAGGCACATCAGGGCAAGATGAAGCATTCGTCAGTTTCCAGTTTCGCACCTGGAACAAGGAGGGACTTCTATTATCTAGTAAAGTACACCAGGCTTCAGGTGGTTTCCTTTTATATCTGAGTGATGGGAAAGTTAAAATCAGTCTTCATAAACCAGGAAAAGCGCTGAGTGACATCACTGCAGGTAAAAGAAATTAAGTAAAAAAAAAAAAAAAAGAAAGAAAAAAAGATTATTATATTGTAAAGTCATTCAAATTAGTACCTACGTTCTTGACAAGTTTTATGACTAGTATGTGTGTAACTCTGCTTTACGTGTGTGAATTTTAATACCTAAAGTTTATAAATACTGTCTCTTCTCACAAGCCCATATCTATGCTTTTTTTCCCCATGACTGAGTAGAAATTACTTGCAATAATATAGACTGCAAAGGAGAGTCATTTGTATGTGTTTACATACATATATATGCACTCAACATGAGAACAGAAAGACTGCTGGCCTAGCCAGGAATCTCATTCTTTCCTGAAATATAAGACCAAGACAGAGCTGACATCATCTTTATCTTTCACATCTTTTTGAATAATAATATCACCATGTGATAATATCAATACCTTTACCTAGCAGTGCTTCATCAGTAGTATACTATGCTCTGACATTCCATGCACCACAGCCTCCTCAGTTTCTCATCTTTTATGTGAACAATTGATTTTTGCCCCTTTCTTGTAGAGGATAAAATTGTCATTACAAAGAAGGCATGAACATGAGGAAATTAGGCTGAGATTGGTGTGGTTTCTGTATGGAACAATATTACAGAGACCTAATAGCTGGAGGAATATGTCCTAGAAGCAATGGATAATTGGGCTGCAAAATACACAGTGGTGATATCCAAAGCATCAGTTGCTTCTAGGTTCATTTTGAATGGTACACAATCACATATTTCATAATCATAAAACAGTATTATCAGTGAAAATGAAGCCAAGTTAGTTCCAGTAATGTAATACATACATAAACTGAATTAAGAGGTGAACAACAAATGTGTTTTCCTTTGATACTTAGAAAGCAAGTTAAGGATTTGAATGTGTGAATAACTCAACCTTGTATAGGATATATTCATTGGAGTGATAGGAACCAAACCAAAGGCATATTTCAGGGGAGTTCTCAAGCCAGAATATAGAGAGTTTAATGATGTTGTTTATTGTTAGTTTGCCTTGGGCAAGAACACACACAATAAGTAAGCTAGGAAGTTACTGACATAAAAATAAACTATAAATAATAAAATAATTTACTAAGTAAAAAAACCCCAAAACATAAGAATTAAAGCCTCCAAATCTATTTCAGACCTCACAGAATTTAAAAAATTATGTAAAAGAGGGAGAAATTTCCACAAAAAATGTATACTTGGTATACAAAAAATAAGAGTTACTCACTTGATTTATTCACAAATTACCAGCTTTCCAGCCACAGGATTTGAGGATGAGGCCCCCTTGATCTTAGTTCTGTGTTTCTATTTCTTTTAGATTGAGTCCTTACTTCAATTCCCAATATCAAATGAAAATTCCTTTGAGGGGGGAAAAAGGCAAAATAAAATGTTAAACCTAACTCTGAAGCTCATCGTGTTTTTACAGGTGTATAATGATTAAAAATAAAATTTTAATCAGTTGATTATTTCAATTCAGGAAAAGGCTCTAAGCCAGTAATGACCACAGACAATGCTGGAATTTACAGAAATATTTTTATCCTGTTTCTGTGGGTGATATCTAGTATTTGTTGTAGTCTAAAATAACTGATGCACAGAGTTCCCTAGGCTCATAATTTGAAAATGTCAATTCCTTAATAAGAATGTCAGTGGTATGTAGTTAACAGTGATTAATTTGGTTTTCTGGGAGCTCTTGCAATTGCAGTTCAATTAGGTGATGTACACTATTGCTGTGCAACGTCATTTTAATAGACCGGCTGAAGGTGCTGGCAGTTTGAACAGCTATAGACTTGAATACAGAGCATTTTATTCAATTTCCAAGTTGGAACACAATACATAATGTATTAGCTGAAACAGCCCAAAATACATCTTGACACTACAGTGAAACAAAATCTAATGTTCTCATGCTATGCTAAGTCTATTCTTCATAAAGTCTAACAGGAAGAGTTGTGTTTGTCCTGGTAAGGACAGAATATACTGCAAAACCATGTTATTCTCTTATGAGAAAGAAGTTATCTAATAAAACCATATAGGGAACCTTTTCTGGGTTTTTTTAAGTGTTTATTATTACACTCACTGAAGCAATTCTAATATGCATTTGGAGATTGAGTAATTAAATTACGGATGACTGGACAGGTTTGTTCTCCTACAGGAGAGGACTTATGACCTGACTTTCATATACACACACACAAACACACAAACACACACACGCAGTATATTTCTTTTTGCACAGCTTTTAAATTCATTATCATGATTTTTAAAGATTTCTTCAAACATATAAAGACAAGGAGAATGGCATGTTAATTCATGAGTGATTGAATTATAATAAGCTGCATCCTTTCACTGAATAGTTGTTTAATATCTTTCCTTTGTATCCTCTTTTGCAAGCTAGTCATCAAGTATTCACAAAGAAATAACACAGATAAAAAAAAAACCACAGAAAGTTAATTCATGTTGAATTATGAGACTAAATTGAATTGCAACGTGTATAAATGTTTGAGTTCTTATTACTCAGTTTCTTCATATGACCCTATCTTTCTAAACAGCTTTTCATTTCCATGCAGCTTTTAATTAAGTGATGTTAACAATCGTTACATTTGGTGGTTTTACTTCAGACTAATCTATATATTACTTTCCCTAAACTAGTTTTTGTTTGTTTGTTTCTCACTGATCCAATAAATTATATACGTTGTATTTTACATATGTGTTCCTAAGGGTGTATGTCATTGTTCTGCAAGATGTCCCACAGTGGTTTTTTTTAGTATTTACATATTAAAATACTGAACATACTACTAATGAGAATAATGGATATCTTATAATAACTAGCTTTTTATGTGCTAAAAGTTTAAGTGCTATTCTTTTCCTCACTTGTTTTTGGTGAAGCATTTTAAAACTCCTAGTAGAACACCAGATATGTTTTTCAGATGGAATAGAAATGATGGCCTCCACTCTTTTGATGTTGTACCTCTCCTTGGCTTTGCAAGTAAATGTGAATTTAATCAAGTTTCTCAATTCAATGGCTATGATAAGCTTTTTTTATCAGGAGTGACTTATCCTTTCAGAATGGCATTCCTCAGTCCCCAGACTTAATGAAAGGGACTTTTGGAAAGTCTTAACTTGAGCTATATGAACATAGCTTAGTATCTCTAATCATGCCAGCCTGTATGAAGAGGACATTAAATATCCATCCCAAAATCATGTAGTAGGTCAATGTGATAAACTATAGTGAACAAACCAAAAAGTACAAAATTCATATAATCAATTTTCCAGTAACCAAAAAAATGTATCTGCTTCAGTCACTCATTCAGTCTCCTTCTCTATGCCTTACCTACCTTTACAATTAAATATTTCAGTATTTAGAATATGGCTTCTCATCAGAAGTTATTCAAACAGGATGCAAATCTAAGAATTAAAAGCAATTATACTTGCAACAATTGAAATAAAATTACAGAACTTACTGTTATATTTCAAATCTTCAACAATGACAGAGGTAGTCGGATTGAGTACATCCTCAGTAAATCTGCTGATGACACTAAACTGAGTGGTGCTGTTGATTCACTAGAGGAAAGGATGCCATCCAGAGGGGCCTTGGCAGGTTTGAGGAGTGGGCCCGTGTGAACCTCATGAAGTTCAACAGGCAAAGTGCAAGGCTTGCACCTGGGTCAGCACAATCACCATTATTAATACAGATGCAGGGGATGAATGGATTGAGAGCAGCCCTCCAGTGAAGTACTTAGGTATACTGGTGGATGAAAAACTGGATATGAACTGTCAATGTGTGCTTGCAACCCAGAAAGTGAATTGTATCCTGGGTTGCATAACAAGATGGTGGCCAACAGGTCAAGGCAGGTGATTCTCCCCCATTATGCATTTTCATGAGACCCCATCCAGAGCACTGCATCCAGCTCTGGGGTTCACAGCAGAAGAAAACCATGGACTTGTTGGGATGGGTCCAGAGGAGGCCCACAAAATTGACCAGAGGGCTGGAACACCTCTTCTACGAGGAAAGGCTGAGAGGGTTGAGGTTGCTCAGCCTGGAGAACAGAAGGCTTTAGGGTCACCTTATTACAGCCTTTCAATGACCTATAGCTGGAAGTGTTCAAGGTCAAATTGTATGAGGCTTTGAGCAACCTGGTCTAGTGGAATGTGTCCCTGCTCGTGATAGGGGGGTGGGAACTAGATGATCTTCAAGGTCTCTTCCAACCCAAACCATTCTATGATTCTAAGATTGTATGATTCTATGATCGTATGCTTTTATGTGTACATGACTCTATGATTCTATGAATAGGGTTGGAGAGATATTTTTTTCCCAGGGCCTGTACTGGCAAGACAAAGGGTAACAGTTTTAAATTGAAATAGATTAGATTTAGATGTGCTACCCCTGGAAATGTTCAAGGTTAGGCTGTATGGGGCTTTCAGCAACCTGACCTAGTAAAAGAAGTCCTTGCACATAGGAGGGAGACTGGACTGGATATCTTTAAAGGTTCCCTTAGGCCCAAATTATTGTATGATTTTATGATTGTTAAAGGAAAAATTTCTAAATCACATATAGCAGAGATGTGATTGAAGAAAACTTCATTCACCTGAAGTACCTCTAACAATAAAAAACCTACTTGCCTAATCTTAGAGGTGAGGTGAAAGAAGCCAGAGCTTTCCGTAGCTGGGGGTGGAGGCTATAAAGAAGGAAATATGTAGGAAAATGTTTCTTTTTTTTGATTATTATTTCAAGTCACTCATCTTAAAAACAGTGTGACGAATGACTTTATAGAGTATATATAGTCTATGCTATAAGATTTATCTCTTGCAGTTAACATATGGATCCTTTGTATGATGTCATTTAGCTATTTGAACCTTCTCATCTTCTTATTGTTATTTGTTTTCCTTCTGTTTGAACTAATCAGTTAACTGGTGGACTATTTCTCTACAATATACAAGACATTCTAGAGATAGTACATAAATACATGAAATTTTAAGAAGGAAATCACAGTCACAAATCATAGGTGCTCTGCAGTCAAGAAAAGATTTTACATCATTCTTTGTTCTTCACCAAGGGAAGTAGCTCTGTTCTGAAGAACACTCAAAAGCATGACTGACATAGAGCACTTCTTAAGGATAATAATGTGCTTACATACTGCCCTATAAAATTTATTTAAGACAATATATGCAAGTGCTTTCCAGAATTAGGACTTTAGATTTATTGCTGTGTTGATCTTACACCTACAGAGACATAGGTAATGTAAATTGGTGTTAAAGGTTACACTTCCAGAAAATTTTCCTATACATTTCCAATAAAAAAGATAACTAAAAGAAAACTGATTTTATGACATTGACATGACTGTTGCTGAAGCTTTTAGCAGGATTTTTCTATTTGAATGGGTTCTAATATAATGTCTACCTTTGATTTTGAAAGATGAAGAAATCCTTTGTAATAGTGAAGTAAAAATGTGTGTTACATGTAAAATACTGTATCAGCTGTCATAATGATATCTTAATGATACCCTTCTTAGATAGGAAGGGTATTTTTTATAGCTACCACTTTAAATGGATGTATTACTTGGATGTATTACTGATAATTCACAGAATCACAGAATGGTTTTGGGCTGGAAAGGACCTTAAAGATCATCTAGTTCCAACCCGCCTGCCATGGGCAGGGACACCTTCCACTTGGCTCAAAGCCCAGTCCGACCTGGCCTTGAACACTGTCAGGGATGGGGCAGCCACAGCTTCACTGGGCAACCTGCTCCAGTGTCTCACCACCCTCACAGGCAAGAATTTCTTCCTTATATCTAATCTAAATCTCACCTCTGTTAGTTTAAAGCCAGAAGAGATATGTTTTTACAGAACGTGGTCACTACAGAAGCTTTCTGGTGCTGTTTTACAGTAAGTTTTATTATTACTAACATTTTACCTCAGTCTTTCTTTCTCTGTAGCTCATAAATGAAGTTAAAGTATTTAGTTACTTTGTCATAAAGACCCATCACAAAGCCTCTGGGTGTTTTACCACTTAACAGAGAGTGCTCCTGAAGCTGACGCTACAACACTGATGGTACACTGTTATAATGCACCATAGTAGAGGGCAGCAGCCTTCAAACAGCAAATGCAAATATTATTTTAAAGTTATAATCTTCACTGCTCCTGTTCATTTGCAGTACATCTTAATCCACCCTACAATGCATATGTGCAAACCACAGACTGTCACTTCCCTGCATCTTCCAACATCAGCAAAGTTCTTATGTGGCTTAAAGAAGTTGTCTGTCACAGAGGAAGGACTCTGCCCAAATTGCATCCCCTCCTGTGGCAGACCCTTTGCAGATCCCGTCCTTTCACAATCACGGCTTTTACATTGTCTGCATTGCACCCATCCTTTTTCACTATTGCACAACTTGGATCTTTATAAAAAATAATTGCTCTAACCTACCTTCATGACTAGGTGAAACATGAAAGTAATTTTAAAAGAGGTGCATATTAATCCTTAAGAGATGAACCTTTCTTTCTTACAAGACAATTTTAGGCTGTATTTTCGGAGTTTAAGAAATGCCAGAGATGCAGGAACACACCAAAGTTATCTGTAATTCTGCTCAACTAGCCATATAAGCACCTTTCAACAGGACATGTTTCCCCTTCTGATCAAATGAGGGCCTGACTCCAGCCTTTTCTGCTTGAGTTGCAAAGCTGTCCAGGTGCCTTTATGAAAGCTGTCACCAAGACCAGCATTTCCACTCTGTGACTAATCACACTGAAATAAAAGTATTTTTGTTTGGTGGGTTTATTTTAGGTGAAGATTTTTCTGTTTATTTGCTTTAAGCTTTTTCTCTAGATTAATTCTGAACTCAAATCCCTTGGAGAGAACAAAAAAGCCCAAACAATCCACCAAAAAACTTCATGCGATTTTGTCCTGTTTCTTAATCCATCTTTGAAGATGGTGTGGCATATTGATAAAAAACAATTACGTGTATTACAACAGTAACGCTTATTCACTAAAGTACTTTTATTTTCTTTTTTATCAGATGGTAGCAACGGAATGGAAAAAGGTTCTATCTTCACAAAGGACATTTGTGTTCTTTATTAGTTTTCTCTTCCTTTCACTATCATGTGGGGGTTTTATGGGGCCTATGATTACTCTACTGATATCTCCTCCTTTTGAGTCTATAACATTCAGGTAGTATAACAAATAATGGATGTTTATACTTCATTCTGCTTTCTATTTTCCTTCCAGGTGCTGGATTAAATAACGGCCAGTGGCATTCTGTATCCTTCTCTGTCAAAAGGAATCGTATCAGTGTAATAGTGGACAATGATGTGACCACATCTGCTCATGCCTCCATATCTCTGCAAATTTATTCAGGGGATGCTTTCTACTTTGGAGGTGAAATATTTTTATTTATGCTGGCAATATCTAACAGTTAATCATGATTTTTTTTCTGACATGTCTGATCAAATAACAAATTATTTTTCTTGCCTTAAGTCTTTTACTAGCTTGGATATCTCTCAAACAGTCCAATTTTCAGGCACTGCTATGATATTTTGATATGGTTGATATATGATAAGGTTGTGTTTCCTTAGAATTTTATTATGGTGGGTAAAATAATATGCAACCCTAAGTTCTGGTCACTTTTCTGAACATAATTTTCTGGAATCATGCTCTGATAATTGAATATAATCTAGTTGACAATCAGACAGACACACAAAGATCTTGCATGTGTATTGTGTAGCTAAATCAATTTTTCATGAGAATCTTCCACTTGGATGACTTCAAGTTTTCAGCTTAAGTTAGTGCTTACTTACTTGTGCAAATATCCTCATAACAGAAACTCTTAATTTTTTATTTTCTTCTTTTACTACAGTAGCACAGCTTTCCCATCTTTGAAGAATACAACTTGTGCCTAAAAGCTATGCTTTGATATCTTCATTTCCCTAAGTATATTAAAAATTATCTGTCACCAAGCGATTTTGTCATTAATCAGATATATTGTTACTGACAGATTAGAACAGGTTGTAATGTCTAGGTCAGTTGGGAATGGACTGCATAATAGCAATATTAAACAGCATCCTAATACGTTATTCTACACTAGCCTAATGCTTCATCTTTTAGTAGCTTAGGAGTTAATAACTGAACAATTTTTTAAAATAACAATTCTCAGGTTTCTGAGAAAACTTAAAAATGTGTACAAAAGCCTAAGTTAATATGGACTAAGTCATTGTCCACAGATCAGTTCCCTTGAATCAACAGGTTGTAAAAAATTTTAATGCTCACAAGAAGACCATAAATATAGGAACTATTAACTGAGCATCCGTGTGACAGTTCACATCTCACACCTAGCCTTCTCTACTAAAAACACCTGTTGAACTGGCTGATAATCAGAGAAAGATACAGTGTATTGGCCTGAACAGCCAAAAAAAAAAAAAAAAAAAAATATAAAACAACCTTTTGGGTTTTTTTTTTTGTTTGTTTTAATTTATGTTATTTTTTTATTTTTTTAATTTTACTTCTGTGCTTCTCCAAGTTCCCAAATCTCTGATTAGGTGATCTGGACTATTTCAGGGTTGATGGCAGAGGTGAACAGAACAGGAGGGATTCCGGCAGTTGCAAAAACCAACATATTCAATTAAGTTGTACAAGGACATTTCTGTTTATCTTTTTGGAGAGTGGAAGGGGCAAATTAATTCTAAGAACACTTAAAGCACTAACTACATATCATTCCCTCAGTGTCTCTGATTTCAGCTTTGTAGCTGAAATCAGCAGCTTGAGCATGTCCTATGAACTCTGGGAGAACTTATAGAAGGTTTCTGAGTTTAGAAAACTGTTTATTAAAATTTTATGTTATATACGACAGTCAAAATGTAGACAATGCATTTTAACTTTCTTTCTAAATTTATATGAATATTTACCTTGTTTCTATATGCTGGTTCTTAAAACATGAATATCAGCCTTCCAGGATAAGTTTCCTGGGGAAACTATTGTCAGTTTTCTTGTTTTAATGAATGCAAAGTATGCAAGAAATGTGTATCCGTAGTTAGGAAAATGTGTAATAAACATGAAAATACTTTAGCTTTATGTCAGCACAATTTTTAGTCATTCTATCATCAAGGTTATACTACCTTTTCCCACTTCTGGGAATAATAACTCATTGCAACTACAAGGGAAAAAAAAATTTTCTTAATACACAAGTACAGTAAATATCATTATTAAAAGATTTCTAACTATGTTCAATATCTGCCTCACAATTAAAAGAAATCCTTGTTTTATTAATACTAATGATATTGCCTTTTCTCTAATATCTAGCAGACAACTTTTGCAAACAGACATACTCAAAAATCTGAAATAAAATTTTGTAGAACAGCTACAAGATAAAAACTTTGTTTGCCTGTTCTGGATTTTTTGCTCTTTTTTTTTCATCATGACCTCCAGTGCAAGTACCTTGTTTCCAAATGAGTGTTGGATTTTGTCCGGAAATTACAATCTTTATTTTATCTCTTTATTGAAGAATGCTGTATGTCAATGCCTTTCCTATACTGAGGAGTCTGGAACTACAGCACTCCAGATATGGTCTCACAAATGCCACACAGAGGGAAGGACCACGTTCTCAGTTCTGTTGGCTGTATTCTTGAGAATACAGCCCAGAATGCCATTGGCCTTCTGTGCTGCAAGAGCACATTCCTGGCTCATGGTCCACCTGCTAGCCACCAGGACCCCAGCCCTTTCTCTGTGGATCTAGGCAGTTATCCTTCAGCTTGGATAGTTGCATGGATTCATTCCATCTCATATTTAAGACCTTAAACTTGTTGTTTCTGAACTTTATGGCATTCCCGTCAGTTTGTT